CTTCCTAAAAAACAAACTGCTTGACGCTTCATTAACAGTGGCACCTGCAAGCCTCCTTACAACACTAGTTCGAAATTTCAGTGCAAATTGTCAAAAACAAAATGTCATGAGTGTCTGTTTCAACTAGCGTGTTTACTCATTGATCAACAAGAAAGAAATTCCTTTGAAAAATGCAGAGTACTTCTTCATTTGGTCCAGTAAGAAGCTGCAAGAACTTCCATAGGAGTTCAGGTTCCAAGCTTGACCAGCTGACAAAGTTCCTGCCAAACAAGAGAGCTTGAAACAAAACATTTTCGCTAAGAGATTTTGCAGTTAGTGCGTGTGCAGCTCTGAGGTGGACTCTGTGGTGGTCGTGGGGGTTTGGTGGACCTCTTTAAGCTGTTGCCCTTGCTTCCACCGCTACTTGAGGCTAACGAATACGAACGGCCGTGCATCATTACAGCATTCATTCCATTGGCCATGGAGAAAGACTTGAGGTGACTTTTTATGGCGACAGGTAGTGGTAGTTTGTCAATAAGATGAACAGGTGTACAAGAAACAATGGCTCGGCAACAAAGGTCTTGCAGTGTGAAGACTGTTAGGAAGAAGTGGGGAAAAACAGGAGTACAGTTGAGACTATTTTAATATTAAATCCATTTAAAATTCATCTGAAACATGCAGAAAACTGGATCATAAATTTCTTTAGAGAATGGCAACTTAAAAACTGTTATAAAGATAAGATAAAATACAGAAGACAGTGAACCCTTCAACATTTTGAAACCGTTTACTATTCATAAGAATGGAGTAAGGGCAGTCACAAAATTGTCAATTTTCAAAATGGTTTGCACCAATGCAAAAGCCATTTAAGATAGCTGGTGATACTGCAGTTTCAAACAAGATCACCTGGTGCACAAGCCAGGCTTCAAAGATTTATTTTGGGGAATTTATCCCCAAAAAGTCTGTAAACACTATTTAAAGAAATCATCATAAGCCAAGAAAATGGCTAAACTACAAGGAATAACAATTAGTTGGAATGGATTGCTATTAATAAAATCCATGCAGTGCATGTTTTGGTTAAAGGCCCACCTAACAGATAAGATGGTAAACTGTCAAAATGCTCCATTTTGAAAAGAGTCTTTTTTTTCCTATTTAAAAAGGATAATCAGATAACTTTCTTTAAATCAGTTTCTAGGCTAGTATACAGAGTTCTTCCTTCTGTCTACTGCACAATGTTATTTTAACAACAATTTGGGAGATCATCCCCACATTGACAATGGATGAAAAAATAAAACCCCAGCTTCAGCCTTGCCAAAAAGAACATTTTATTGGCTATTTTATTGGTAAACTCTGCTTTAAACCCATTTCTCCTGTTGGAGTCTTGCCCTTTTTGCAGGACAATTTAATATAATTAATCATAGAAAAAAGCATCAATAAATTTAAGGTTGACACAGCAAAATCAATCCAAAACAGGTTATTTGATAAAATATCCTAAATGGAAACATGAAGTTCAAAGCCTCTAGTTTTTCCTTGCACTACCAGGTCTGCTCACTTGGGGGCAGAGATAACTGCAAGCTTACATTAATTACCTCAATACAAATTATGTCAACAGTTTTTCCCGTGCATTATAGTGGCAAAACAAGTTTCTGAATAATGCCAAAGTCATGAAGCAGCCTTTGGAAAAGTCACAAATTTCAAAGATCAACTTGATATAATTTTAATCTCAAGCAAGCGATGATGGCATCAGGAGAATTGGCTGAGTAATACAAGAAACATTTGTACTCTTAAGAAAAGTATTCAGAGAACAGTCGTCCAATTGTAACTTATTGCTCGAAGAATCTAATAACTTAAGTGCAGGATGCTCCTGTAATTTTGCAAAATGCCAAATATATGGATGCAAGAGAGCAGCCAAAGGCAGTGAGGTAGCAACAAAATAGCTTTAAAAGTCAATGTGAAAAATTTGTGACACTACTTGGATGCCTCAAACTTCTGCCTCAATCTCACTTTAGTTTATTCCAGGTTTCTTTCCCCTCCATTTATTCCTACTGTTCATCCAGAGGAGGGTCATTTTCTCCTTTTTTGCTTCTTTTTTATGCAGTTATGATTAAATGAAATTTCACTGGAGTTGGTGGCCCTATTAGTACCTTAAATCAAATAGGCATATTTTGCAAGCCTAGATGGTAATTCTATTTCAAACATGAAAGTACTAGAGCCAAGACAAATCTTTATCTCAGCAGCCTTCCAAGCAGGAGTGAAAATAGTTCAGATAAGCAATGAACAAATACACTGTTCTTCCTTTTGAAGTGAATAAACTTCTTTAAATGCATATTTATGCTTTTTACTTAAAACCCACAAAAGTGCAAAAAAGTGAAAAATAGAACATTTCCCACCTCTGTTTGGTTTCCAGAACCTTTCCATACCATGTCGCATCAGCACAATCCGAGACAGCTCGGTGAATGACTCAGTCACGTTGAAGTTGCAGAGCGGACTGACTTCAAAGAATGTCATCCCATTTTTCTCAGCATAGGCTCGTGCCTGTTCAGTGGGAACCTGCCTTTTGAAGGCGAGGTGTAACCTGTTACCGACCAAAATTCTTGGCACACCAGGAGCATGCTGAAAAGAAAATACAAAACCAATGGTGAATCTGTTGGTCTTCTTCAACAAGCAATATTGATTTTTTTTTTAAAAGATTAGTGCAAATTATTCCTAATTGATATCCAGACAATATCAATCGTGGCCAAACAGCACTTTGGTCTCCAAGCCACAGACGAGTGTAACACATGCTGACCCTGTCAGGAGATCCTATCATGCTAATGCGATGTTAGGACTGCAGCCTTTTTCTAAAAAAAAAACAGCATTAACTTTGACCATTTCAATGCTGTCCAAGCTGGCCTCCATAGACTTTAGCACATCAAAAACTCCGCTGTCTGCATCATAACTCATGCAAAGTCCTGTTCACCCAGCACCTTGTTCTCATTGACCCTCACTGGCTCTCAGTCCAACAATGCCTCACTTAAAATAAAAATCAATATATTGCGAATGCTGGAAAACTAAAATAAAAACAAAGTGCATGTAGAATTTCTCCAGCATTTCCATCTTTAAAATTCATCCTTTTCAAATCCCTCCTGGCCAAACTTTCCATCTCTGGAATTGCTCCAATCCAATAACAAATATCTATATCAATAACACAAATATTTAGGGATGGCACAGTGGTTAGCACTGCTGCCTCACAGCGCCAGGAACCCAGGTTCGAGTTCAGCCTCAGGCAACTGTGTGGATTTTGCACATTCTCCCTGTGTCTGCATGGGTTTCCTCCGGGTGCTCCGGTTTCCTCCCACAGTCCAAAGATGTGCAGGTTAGGTGGATTGGGTATGCTAAATTGCCCGTAGTGTTCAGGGAGGTGTAGATTAGGTAGGTTATAGGGGAATGGGTCTGGGTGGGATGCTCTGAGGTTCAGTGTGGACTTGTTGGGCCGAAGGGCCTGTTTCCACACTGTAGGGATTCTACGGTCTTATCTGCAATTATCCAATTCTGGCATCTTCCGATTTCAACATAGCCAAAAAGGGAAAAAAAAAGTGATTGTCTTCTGCCAAGGTGCCTCCCACCACCAAAGAAGAAAAATACTAAACCTTTGCATCTACTAAGATTCTTAAAAGTCTGTCTGACCAAACTTCTGGTTAAGTGTCCAAACCTCAACTGTATCAATGTCAAAATTTATACTTCTTGGTAATCATGTGAAGCATGTTACGTAAAAGCCAACTTTTCTTCCTGACCTTCATTCTCACTATTTTTCTCTCCTGATCCCCTCGTTCCCTTCCACTTGTCACTTCATTGTGCTAAACTCACTTCTTCCTGTTCACTACTTCCCTCTCCCATTGCACTCAATTCTTGCTTCTCGTTGCACCTCTCCAGAGCCCCTGTTCATAGAGGGGCTGGATGAAGGAAGTTATAAAACAGACTTAAAGGATAGAATTGAAAACCATGCACTCAGGCACAACACAGCTCATGGTGCACACACCAGTAACTGTGCTGAAACAAAAAAAGGCAGGACCAATCAGATAAACCTACTAATTTACAAACTGCATAAAAAGATGTGCTAAGAGTGAGTTTTAAGATTGGAATAAAAAATCCTCACATATGGTTTTTAAATCTGTCAGGATGAACAATTTTGTGTTCCATAAATAACTGCCCATCATTCTTTTAGATGATAAAGCAACCATTTACAGACAGACTCTCCAATTCAGAAGATAACATTTCAATGCAGATTGGTTAATTGTGTATGAAGTAATGACATTTTGCAAGTGAATGTCACTGATTTATGTTTGCCAGAAAAGTAGTATTTTAAAAGAAAACCCACTGTTGCTCATGATTCCACAACTTCTGCAGTTACCCTTCTCTGCCCTCCATCTAAAACAGAATAACTTCCTTTTGAAATTGCAATTTCAAACAACCATGAAATCCTAGTGATTTTTCTCAAAAATTTTTCAAGTGGCCACAACTGAATTGTATTTTTGAAATATTCTAAAAGGTTAAAAAAAAAAGTTTGATGATTTGAATTCTATGCAACTTTTAAAATTTTAATCCCTTGACCAATTGCTCAAAGACTACTTGTACTACTAAGATTCTGGCGATTCCCCCTTGGCAAATAAGTGAACAGATTCAAAGAGGGTTTAGCAAATTAGCAAAGTTATGTCAATCATGTCATGTACATAATGAAGTCTAATCAGCTGTTGCTATGTAAATTGGAAGAGACCATTTTTAAAGATGGAATAGCCTCAGTTACAATGCAACTCTGCAGGTTGACATTGTTATTTATGCAAGTACATACGGACAGAATTCCTCCTGAACTCAGGGTACTTTTCATACTGTTTACTTTTACTTTACAGGCTTTCATAAAAATGTGGAGAAATAGAATAGTTACTGCATTGCATCCCATCCAGAAAGTGACAAAAGCTCACAATTTATTTCCATGTACATCCATTCAAGAATAGTTTCTTCTTGTGATGACAGGTTTATTTAAATGTATATAGTTTGTTTTAGGAGTTAGTATTTTAAACTAGAGGCACATGGGTTTGGTCAATTAACATGAAGGGTATTTAATTGCAGATTTCCTTCCCTAAAAAGGGACGTTAGTGAACCAGATGGATTTTTCCAATGATCAAAAATGGTTTCATGGCCATCGTTGGATCCTTAATTCCAGATTTTTCTTCCGCTGAAATCAAATTCCAACATCTGCCCTGGTGGGATTCAAACCCAGGTTACCAGAACAATAGGGGAGTTTCTGGATTAATAATCTAGCAATAATACAATAGTGATACCACCACTAGGCCATCGCTTCCTCTTAACCAATGACTGAAGGTATCCTGGAGTGTTAAATGCAAGTTTGTTTACATTAAGGGGTTTACACAGGAGATGGAAAAAAAAGCTATTAGTTTAGCAGAAGCTAGGATGAGTAGGTTTTTAAAATTTAGTTGAAAGCTTTTGAATTATTTTGGAAGAGACCTGACTGAAGTTAAATGTTAGAGACATTTCTCCCAGAAAAAAGGGGTTTGGCCAGAGTAGTTAAAGGAATAGATTAATTCAGTACAAGAGTTTCTGTTTATGAAGACTTCCAGACTAATGCTTGGTTCTAAATTTACATTAATTATTCAAATCTGAGAAAGTCTAACATCTCAGTTGAGTCAAAATAAAAAACCTTCATGTGAGTTACAGGACTGGAACTGACAAGAAACAGTTAAGTCAACCTCCAGATTTGATGAAGGGAAATTCCTGACTTTTTGATTAACTAAAATGATAGCGCTCAGGAATGGATGAACACGAGTTTTGCTGGGGTCTTTGAAATCTTTTAAACCATGTTATATTTAGATAGCTTAGCTTGTTTTATTTTATTTCATTTCACTTTCTTTTGCACACTTAATTTCAGTTTTATTGTTCCAACTAAATCTGCAGCCTGGGTTGCTCATGTTTCTGTGAATGACTATCATTCTCAATTCAGCAACATGAGATCTCAGGCCAGATTTCATTCTGGGATCTGACTTGGCAAGTAGTAACACCAGCTGGCATTATAACTATCAAAAATAACTATTGCAGATATTAGTGGACAAGTGTTTTAAAATGTTTGTATATTTCTCTTTGCGATTTTAATGGAACTGTTAACCAAATCTTTTTTGAAAATACAAGTTTCTGCACAATTCCAAAATCATACATTTTGGTTCAATGTTTATATCCACATTAATAACAGCCATAAATTGAGAATCCTGCTGACTTTGCAGCAATCCAAGTAAAAATAATGATACATTTGGTATATTACAGGATTTACAACACACAAGAGGGCCAGTGCAAATAGTACACAACTGCAATGCTGTTGAGATTATTTCCAAAACGGATTCCAGTTACTTCATGAAAAGGTGAATGTGTGATCCATGCTGCAAAATGTTAAACATTTTGGACTGAAATGACTGAACAGGTTTTTCCAGGTCATGCTGTTGAAAAATACTGCAATATTAGACCGTGCCTTCTGCAATGACTTGTATAATTACAAGATTCTAGCTTCAGCATTTACTCACCACACCCTTTAACTACCCTTCACAATAATTAAAAACCTAATCCCTAAAGATGTGTGGTATTGTTCCCTGGTACCTCGGGGAGCTTATCAAGGAAGTAGATGACTCAGACAGAGCTTTCCAGTTACGTTCCCTAGTATGCGAAAGTGTGCTGATCTCAGCCACCTGGCATTAAGTACACAACTTCATAATTACACTCAAAAGTCAAAAATATCCCATAGCACTTCATACAACAGTGGTAGTGGTGGAGCAGGTGGGGAGGGGTGTAATGGGGAAACATGAGGTTAGATGTTCAGAGAAAACTGAGTTGGGAGAAGACAGAGGGCAAGATGATAGGACGTCAGGAGCGTGCACCAAATGTATGGAACTGAGTTGGCTGAAGGCTCCATTAAAAAAAAAAGGTAGAACTAAGAGAGCAGGAATGCAAATGCCACTTTCAAATGAGTACAGTGAGTGCACAATAGCAGACAGTGGGGCTGCACAAAGTTGCAGAGATGGTAAGTATTACTATGAAGGAACCTACACAGATCAAATGTTTTGATCTTTACTTATCAAAAAGGGTGGGTAGTCAAAGGAGGTTGTAGCTAGGATACAAATGGCAAAATTTAGTAAGAGTAATTAAAATAGGGAGACCACTGAAGAAAGCTTTGGGAATAACTGACTGGAGAGATAATGAATATATGGATTCATGTATTTCCATAGCAGCAGGAATTAGGGAATGGTGAATGTAGGTAACAGGATGTGGAGAAATGTGGAATTTGAATATTAATTCAAGGCCTAGCAGGATACTGCAGTTCTACAGTGTTTCAGCCTGAGCAAACATTCAGAGGGAAATGTATTAGGGTGTGGAACTTGACAGAAACAGGACATGACAGCTTCAGTCTTGCCATAACTTAGTTTAATATTTAAAATGGGGGGTGGTGACAAAGTAGGTCAAGTGTGATCAGTAATTGTATGAAAACTGGTCTGGAGACTTACAAATTGTGCCAAAGTGGGAAAAAAAAACAGGATTAAGCATGAAACTAAAGCAGACCAAAAAAGGTGAATGGATGAGATACACACACCATTTTGGAACACCAACTAAGCAACACCTTGCTGTGACAGGGAAAAAGAAAACCACTGAGGAGAGACAACTAAAGTGGGTTAACCATGTAGAACACCTCAGGCAGATTAAAAAGAGAACAAAAAGGAAGAGATTATAACCACAAACATGATATGTTGAGGAACTCAACAAAATACAAGGCATCCATGTGGTGCTGTAGGCCAACGCCAGCAGGTTGTATTCAACCACAAATCTGCAACCTCAGTTCAAGTACATCCCCAACATCATCAGGCCAGGAGATCCCCACGCAATTGAGAGTGTATGGGAGGGTATGCCAGGACTAACATCAAGCATACCTTAAAAAGGAGCTGCCAACCCAGTGAAGCTATACCACAGCACTAAACACATGCCAGCTAAACATGCAGTGTAAAATAGATAGGGCTAAGCAATCCCACAACCAGATTAGATCTAAGCCCTGGAGTCCTATCACATCCAGTTGTGAATGGTGATGGATAATGAAAACAAAGAGCACACTCCTGAAATATCCCCATCCTCAATGGATGGCAAGCCCGGCACATTATGCAAAAGACAATTCTTAAGAATTTGCAGCCATTCCCAGGCAGAAGTGCCGAGTGGTGATTCACCTCGATCTCCAAGGCCTCCAGTCAATTTGGTTCACTTCACATGACATCAAGAGTTCAAGGAATCAGGCACTGCAAAAGCAATGGGGCCTGTCAAAATACCAGCAATAATACTGAGAACCTGGGCTCCAGAAATAGTCGTGTTAGTAGCCAAATTGTCCCAGTTCTGACATTTTCATAGCAGTATGGAAAGCTGCCCAAGTACATCTTGTTCACAAAAAGGACAAATCCAACTTGATCAAAATAGACCACAGTAATTGACCGTCAAATTGATGGTCAGTATTATCAAGTGGCATTTGCTCAGCAATAACTGAGTCAATGATGTTCTGTTTATGTTCTTCCAGGGCCACTGACATCTGAATCCAATTACATCCTTCATCGAAACATGGACAAAAAAGCATAACCCCAGAGGTGCGGTGACAATGACTACCTTTTAATCAAGGCAGCATTTAAGAGTATGGATTACATACATGTGAACATACAAATTTGGAGCAGCAGCAGTCCACTTGGTCTCTCCAGCCTGTTCTGCCATGTAACAAGATCACAGCTTATCTGATTATTCCATACTCATTCAATCCCATCAAAAAATCTATCTACATCTGCTTAAAAGCTCGCACTTTACGTAGAGGTGGGGATGTTTATGAAAAATGAAAAGCTGGAAAAAAGGCCAATTAAATAGTTTGTAATCAAGGTAAGGATTGAGCTGTTCTGTATTTTCTAGAGGGTTGGAGATCCAGGCTAATCAAGCCCAATGTGGTGCAAATTAACTGTCAAATGTATTCAAAATTTCTAACTCAAGTGCCCTTTTGGTTATGATGAAGGGACTGAAAGAATGTTGACAAGAGTAGTCCATTCAGACCCTGAAGTCAATTCTTTCAGTCAATGACTCCATATGGTTCGATAGACTATATGGCCTTTGACTATCGAAATTCCCAAATATCTCAGATTTAACAATTACCCAAAAATTTCTTTATTTCACAACTGGATGCCCCGATTTTAGGATGATGTCCCCTTGCCCTTCATTCTCTTAAAAGCAGCAAAAAGGTTGTTCTGCATCCACTCAATCCAGTTCTTTCAAAGTTTTTGTTTATATAAAATCTCTTTAATTTAAGCTATGGAGCCCAGGTAATGGCCCTATGAACTTGCATTGCATTTGATCCCTGGCAAATTCCCAAGGCACAAGTCAGGAGTGTGATGGAACACCCCCCACCTCTTGCCTGGATGAGTGCAGGTCCAGCAACACCGAGACAAAGCAGCCCACTTGATTTGCATCACATCCGCAATTGGTATTCTGTAGTAGCAATGCACATCATTTACAAAATACACAGCAGAAATTCACCAAGATCCTTAGAGAGCACCTTCCAAACCCATGACCACTTCCATCTAGAAGCATTATCAGAATATTGTGGGCAATTCCAGTCTCCCTGCTATAGGAAGGATGTTGTGAAACTTGAAAGGGTGCAGGGAAGATTTACAAGGATGTTGCCAGGGTTGGAGGGTTTGAGCTATAGAGAGAGGATGAATAGGTTGGGGCTATTTTCCCCTGCAGTGTCAGAGGCTGAGGGGTGATCTGATAGAGGTTTATAAAATAATGAGGGGCATGGATAGGGTGAATAGATAAGGTCTTTTCCCCAGAGTGGGAGGTCCAAAACCTAAGGGCATAGGTTTAAGGCAAGAGAAAGATTTTAAAAAAGGGACTTAAGGGGCAACTTTTTCCATGCAGAAGGTGGTACGTGTATGGAATAAGCTGCCAGAAGTAGTGTTGGAGGCTGGTACAATTACAACATTTAATAAAAGGCATCTGGATGGGTTTATGACTAGGAGGGATTTTGAGGAATATGGGCCAAATGGGGCTAGATTAATTTAGGATACCTGGTCAGCATGGATGAGTGGGACCGAAGGATTTGTTTCTGTGCTATCTCTATGACTATGACGAAGACAACAGATACATGGGACCACCAACCCCTGCATGTTTCTTTCTAACCCACACCACCCTGACTTGGAAATATATATCAGTTGTTCAGTGGTGCTGGGTATAAACATGGAACTCCCTCCCTCATGGCATTATGGGTATACCTACACCAAATGGACTGCAGCGTTTTAAGGCAACAGTTAACCACCTTCAAAAGCAACTAGTGATACCCACATCCAATAAAGAAAAACATTTCTTGAAAAGGAGGAGTGGTACCCAGAGGTGTGAACAGTACACCAAATATACAGTTTCAGGATGTTGACTGTATTGGGCTATAGCAACACTGGCCCGTTTGCACCCTAGCCCTTTAGAAAAGGTGAAATTCCACTTGGCTTTTTCATTTTTCTCCCTCAACATGGCCATTTTAGTGAACATCTGAGCATAAACAGAACAAATTAGAAGAGACTACATGACACATTATGGACACAGGCTATTCTTCACAAGGAGGAAGAATACATCTACGGCTGGGCTACATTACCAGAAGTGAAGCATAATTCATGGCGACAATGGGACTGAGTGTAGAGTAACAGCTGTCCATACTTGTGTAGTTTAGCCAGTAAATTTCAAACAATTTCAATGGAAATCAGTTTTACTTCTTTTGCCATTTATGGACTTTGGGGGTATAATTTGACAATGTAACTGTCTTTGAAATACTAGGGAGGCTAGTCTTCCTTTCTGTAGAAAGGAAACAAAAGCAGGAAATAAGTCATTCATCCTGGCAGTGGAAAGCAAACACACCCTGAAAGGAGGAACAACATAACATTCTCATCCAAGTTTTATCTATTGTACTGACGGTCACATTGCGTAAGTAATAAAATATCTTCATTTCACCTTCATTGAAATACTATCCATTGAAAGATGACAGAAGAAACAGTATTGACAAACAGCAAACATTTACTAGAAGTGTTAGGAACATTTACTGAATATGCAATGAGGCAATAATGGATACAGAATTGAAGATTGTGTTCTACAGGCTGAACTTTTAACTGTACATCTGTCTTTGTATCCTTACAGTGAAGGAAAAAAAGTGAAAATCAACCACATTCTAAAACTTGTGCATAGAAAACTAAAATCATAGAAGGCACAAAAACAAAAGTGATCATTTGGCCCATTTCTCCTGTGCCAGCATTTTAATAGTTAAAATGGCTGTGTTTATTGCTACCAGAACTACAGGAAGTACACAAGAGACGTGTGCACGTTTGATGACCGTTCCTTCTGGAAGTAAGATTTAGCTGCTAAATGAAAACTTATTTTTTTGCAGTGTTGACAATTTTACCACAAATTGGCAGGAGATCTTTTCCAAGGTTGGTGCTGTGACAAATCAACCACTGCCCCAAGTGCTAGAAGATTACATAGAAATTGAACAAGGCCAAGGCCATTTGTTTACCCAAAAAAGAGATAAAGCAGTCATGTCTCCTTTCCTTTCACAACCCTAAAAGCATGGTGATTTTCACATGTTCTTTATATACATATAGTATCCTAATTCAGTCTTTTGAAATGTAGCTCATTCTCAGGTTCTTCAACTTCACAACAGGGCTGCATTTTATAGAAAAAAACTCTAATGAAAGACTTGTGACTCAATGTTAACTTTTCATTCTAGCTGTATTGTCTGGACAACTGATTATTTCTAGCATTTTTCAAGGTTAGATTTTCAGTACCTGCAGTGTTTTGCTTTTGAAGAAAGTGATCCAGCATGATTAATCAAGTATAAGTTAGCTTAAGTGTAACTCCAACACAATTGTAAGTTACTCATTAACAAACAAGAGCACCTCACCTCATCAATCTCCTTGATCCAGCGGTCAATCCCATCAAAAGACCATCGATTAGTGATGTCATAAACTAAGAGTATACCCTGAGAAAACAAAAACAATTTTCATTTGCAATCCTATTATTTTTAATTAAAACAGCTAAATGCATTGACAGGAGGTTTATTAACAAAACTAATACAAATTGCAGTTAACTCCTGAATTTACATTAATGGGAATAAAAAGAAAACAGAAGGATACTCTGGGAATTTCTAAGGCAGCAATACATAATCCAAATAGTGTTACAATGCAATTCTCTGAAGGATATAAAACTTAGAATAAAAAAAAGCCTTTATTTCATGATTTTTCTACACAATTAGTTTTTGAAGTACAGTGACAACATACATATCGGGGCTTCATTAACATTAAGCTGAGAGTATGCCATAAACATGAATAATAGAACATGATTAAATTAGGCTTATTTTCCATCACCACTTTTTAATGTTAGAATTGCGTTATTTTGGAAGCAAGTCAGTAAATAGCACCCATGCAATGTGGCAATTAAGGATGTGACAAAATTATGGCAAATGGATTTAAGCATGAAGTGACACACTATTAGACAGCTAACATGGAAAGGCAGTGTACTATAAATGGCACAAATGAGAGTTCAAGCAGCAGGAAGACCTGATATCCATACAAACAAATCCCTATGGTATCCAAATGTTGGTGGGGAGTTTCAAAAGCATACAGGTTACCCATTTACAAATCATGGAATAAATACAAAGCAAACAATGCTAAAACTTCATTAATCAATAGTTGAGCCTCAGCTGGAATACTGTGGACAATTCTGGTCACAATACTTCAATGATGTCATGACTTTAAAGAATACACTGTTTACTGGGTAGGAGAAAGTTTCAATTAATGAGCAATGTACCCATTAAGCTACATATGTGCACTGCTGTGCAAAAGCCTGCAAGGTACTGCTAAGTTCAAGTTAAGTACCATTAAAAAAACTTTTAAAAGTACATCACATTTTAAAGACAAACAGGAGCTATATTTAGGATAGATCAAGTATTCTTGGAACAGAAAAGGCCACAAGCTGACCGGAGATGTTTTAAAGACCAGAATCCTTGATAAAAAGAGGAATACATTCCCTATGAGTGGGCCACAGATTTATAATTGGCAAAAAGGATCTAGAGGTTGAGAATTTTCTCAAAGTTATCAGCATCTGGAAGATTGTATCAAAGAGAGACGAGTGAAGTGGATTCCATAAATAATTTTGAGTTGACGATCTTACAAGATCACAGGTAAAATGTGGGGATGTGGGACTAAGCATCACCACTTTTGCAAAGAGCACAGACACACCAGGTAAAAGAAACATGAGTGCAGAGACACTGATTCTACATATAGTGTTATACGAAATCAGTAGAGTTATAACGAATAGCAGAATTAATAGGATATGTCATTTAACAATAATTTGCATTTGTGTAATGCCTTTAGAGAAAAAAAAAGGACCAAGCCACTTCAAAGTGTTCATGAAATAGTTGTGGTGTTGGTGGTGCAGTGAGCTGGAGCATTTATATACTTGTGTGCAAACCACACAAACTAGACTAAAGGCACAAAACTCATTAACTAAAATTCCATGAGATGGAAGAGTACAAACTGAAAACAAAGCCCATGGTGGTGCAGTCAGCTTTGGCATCAATGTTGGTGATAAAATCATGGCGTTTCCTCTGAATTACCTAGGTATCAGGTTGCTGATGTTAGCCATGACATTAGAATGGTGAGCAAACTGAAGATGGGTGTGCGCAATGGGGTCAGGGAGCCCAAACTACTTTATTCTGTGCAGTTACATCAATGTACATGTCTTGAAAACAAACTTATTTATTAGAACGGGAGTGAAGCGAGTGTGTTCTGGAGTCCTAGCTAATATTCTTCACCAAACAACCACAACTAAGAGATCTTTTATCTCATTGTGGCACATTGCTGTCACAAGTGCTGTATTTGCACACAACAGTTACTCTTCCAACAGTAGATTGCTGGCATTAAAGTGTTTTGTTATATCTTGAAATTGTGAAAAGTGATCTACATCTACAAATCTTTTCTTTCCTTTAAAAAAGTGGAAGTTACAACTCACTTCAGATTAGATATTCAGAGAACTGACAGAAGTTGAGCGGTGGAAATAGTCAGCACACGTGAAACTTGATCACATTAGGGTCACCACACCTCAGGCTAAAAAGGTGAGGTTGAGAAGTCGGGCCTATCTGGAGAGACCTCAGCTGGTGTGGGAATTGAACTTGTGTTGCTGTCACACTGCATTAGCCGTCCAGCTAACTGACCCCTTCTAGCCCTGCTTTACATAGGGAGCAACCACCCAGAATGAAAACTAGCTCACAGATAAGAGAATGTTTTATGTCATATACAACTCAATTGTGAACATTAAAATCAATAAAATTGAATTGATCAAAAGCAAAAAACAGCAGAATACCTTTTATCAGCATCCACATTAAAAACTCTATTTTCAGCTATTTTCTTTTATGGAAGCAGAATTAGTTAGCCATGGTGTGCTGTGGATTTAAATCCAAATTATTTCTGATTAGCACAATTTGCTTGGTTTCTTTCCAAGATTAAAGACCCCAGCCTCAAACAGATCTGCAACTAAACTTCTGAATTTATTAGATGAGTCACAAGTCACAACCATAGTTTAGAATTGATAGCTGAACCTGAATGCCTATTTCTGCTTCTATTTATTACATTGTTCTTATGAAAGTGACCTTCCTGCACAGTGGCAACGGACCACAAAACTTTGGGGGAAGTTGCTACACATGCACGTTAATTTCTCAAATATGCTACGGAAAAAAGTCACGGCTGATTCGTCACTTTTCTGTATATGCATTCGTTAAATTTCATTCGTTTGACTACAACTTGTTCACCAAAGGTGCGAGATGTCCATTTGGACCATTATTGGTTCACATTTCTGGTAACTTACACGAACAGAATATTTGAGCAAAAGGGACTGAAGGGAAGTGGCCAATGGCAATAAATGCATTCCCAACAATAAATTCAGGGACAAATATACAGAGAAAGTACTTTTGATAACATTAGTCAATTGTAAGTCAAGGTCTCCAGTAAAGATATTTTTACTCAGCTTTTTTAAAATCTCAAAAAGAAAGAAAGAGAACTGCTCCTCCAAACACAGGTGGTTCTCTCCCACGCTTGCTGCTGATTGGCCAGGGAGAGAAGGCCAGAGGAGCAGAGGTAGGGAGTGGGCCAAAGGACTTGAGCCGGGAGTCAGCCCAGTTCTGCCAAGCCTGGCAAGAAAAGACGAGGGGCACAAATTTTGCCAGGTAGCTGTCCACTCATTGGATTCAGTGACCTGGCACAATTGGAATAGGGAAGCCACAGGGAGGGCTTGGGAGGGTGGAGGAATACTCAGCTAATTATGGAAAACTGAGTCAAAGTAATGAATTATTTGCAAATAGGGCTGCATTTGTTCTGGAGCTGTATTTTGAGAAAAAGTACAGTGGACGTTATAGTAATGAAGTAGAGATACAATAAAGAGAGTACCAACTACTTGTTCAAAAATATTCCAAGTTTGTGAGCATAACTGGAAATACATTTTCTATTACTTCAGTCTCCAGAGGGTGTGTTTAGTTCTGAACAGAACTGTCAGTTATTTTGCACAATTATACCCGTTATTTTATGCCAATTTAAACAGGAAATTAATGCCTTCCTTGTGCATCAGGGCTTTAAATTTAATGATAATTGAGGATAGTGATGTATTCTAATTCTGCAGTATCCAAATACTGTATACATCACCACAAATACAGAAGATACTGTCACTACATGACTGCATCACCTAAAGGAAAAAAAAAGAGTTAATGAGAATTAAAAAAAACGAATAAAGATGGCACTGACACTGGGTGACTCCTTGTGGGCTCCCTACAGCAGATCTTAGAGTAAGATTTCTTATAACCATCCTACACTTTAAAAACTTAAATTCTACATTCACGCATCTCCTGTGCAATGTAACCTGGATACCTTACTCTGTCCAAGCACCCTATGATCTGTATGTCCTTGCTGACTATGATCTGCCTGTAATGCTCACAAAGCTTTTCACTATACTTAAGCACACATGACGTTAATTCAAATCAAAATCAAAAACCAGAAGGCTCTGAAAACCATGAAGTAGCCCTCAAGGGGAATTCTCAAAACAAACTATGCACCTTGGTATTATCCCTTGAGTATGGTCACTATGTGGTTCAGTAGTGTCACTAAGGGGACAAACTGGAGATGTAATGCTAAAAACACCTTAACTGTCCTTCCAAAATGTGGCTTTACAGTCTCGTGTGCCAAATGACTTGCTATTAAGTAATACATGATCTGTTAATGACTTCAATTCACCAAAACAGTTAAGAAATAGAAGAGGACATGAGCAATGATTTAAAGAAATTGACAGATGCCAATTTCAAAGCAAGCACTTTACTTCAGAGACTTGCCAATACACAAAATTGGCAAGTATTTTATTCTCCAGCACCAACATGAACTAAAGTTTTTAAATGCTTCTTTCAAGGTTACAAACCACTGAAGGGAGCTGCCCACGAAAAAGATGTCATTACCTCTGTGGCGTTACTTTTCCTCACAGCAGTTTAAAACTGGGGGTATCAAAAGGATCCCTGGCCATACAGCAGTAGCAGCAGCAGCTAATGTTAACAAGCAGGCAGGTTTTTAACTGCACCATTAATACTCACACACAGCAAACTAACGAGCTAAAAGCACTTAATATCCATCAACTTGAAGTTTTCAGAGAGCAAAATAAATGATTGAATCATGATAGAAACTGAAAAAATGATAACAAACTGAGGGAAAAATCTGATGTTATATAAAGAACTGTCACCCTAATTTTTTGAATCTGCCTTTTCAAAAGAAAGGCTGGGTGTTAGTAGCAATTGTGAAGTTTGTATGTGATTAAAATCCAGTTAAACTTCATTGAACAGTGCAATTTAAGGATTTTTACACTTAAACTAACAACAGCTGAAGTTTCATCAATCCAATTGATTCTCATTGATTAGTTTTGAGATGCCTCAGCATACTCTCTGGAGTGTATGAATCACTTTGGGAGACTACATGCACAAAAATGTAGACATCAAAATGCTATGCCAGTTTCAATGGAGCAATAATGTGGATTCTGATAGCTTCATTACTGCTACTGCTACTGCTGGGCAACCAGCTTTATTAAAAAGTTAATACTTTTTTGATCTTCATTAAGCAGAGTGACAGCAGAGATGGGGATGGAACATCTCATTTTGGGCGCACTGTGCCGTGGAGTCAAGAATTCTTGGGTAACAATCACTGTTTTTAACAATACAGAACCATGTCCTTTGTGTCCACACTGGCCATCAAACATCTAGCTATTTGAATTAACTTTCTCACATTTGCCTAGCATCCTGTGGTATTTTACATGGCCTAGATACTTGAATGTCTTCAGAGTTCCCACCTGTACCACTTTAAGCCAGTGAGGTCCAGATACCACTCACCCTTTGGGTGAAAAATTTCTCAATTTTCTCCTGCTCCTTTCCTTAAAGCTGTGCTCCCTGATTAATGACCCTTCTGGGGAAAGAGTTCCCCAAATCTCTGCCCCTCAGCTTTGTTCACCCTAAAATCAGGTTGCCCCTCAGCCTTCTTTGCTTACTAAGGAAAGTAACACCAGCCTAGTCTCTTGAATCACACCTCTCCAGGCAACATCCAGGTGAATCTCCTCTACACCCACTTTACAGTAGTCACATTCTTACTAGAGTGCAGTAATGAGAAGTATATTAATACTAGTAATATAGTGTTAAATACAGCCCAATCATAACCTCCTTACTGTTGTAACTAAAGGCAAATATCACATATCCCACCTAAACCACCTTCAAAAATCTATGGACAACATGGCATTGTTAGATGAAACAGTACAGTTTCCAAGATAACAGAACATCTGCAACCTCAGTAGTGTACCCATAAAACTTCAATAATGTATTATTAATCTGCTTTAAAGCTTCTAGTTTACTGTTAACTTGACAAAATCTGAAATTCAAAATACTCAAACTGCATCCATTTCTGATGTTGTGCAAATAATGAAGATGTGCTATACAGGAAACCAAAAGACTCAGCTACACATTTTTTATCAATACCAAGACAGTTATACAATTCAAGTCAGATCTCCATAAGTAATATCATGAACTTGTCTGTTACAGGAAAAAAAAGAGACATTTAACTAAAACTATTTCATTTCATGATGCAGTTCATCAATAGATCTAGCAGACCCCTTGTGACATTTATTGCACATTTGAAAACATGTAGCCACAGAACTACAAAAGGTATACCACAACAATACCTTGCGTTAGAGATTTTTAGCACATCAATACATGTACATATAACTTGCAATTGAAATAAACAACGATTTCAAATGATGGCAAGGTGTTTTGAAACACAAGCAGTCAAAAAAAAGTATTTCCAGACAATTATTAGATTAAGTGATTCCTTCTTGAATTGCATACCTGTGCACCTCTGGAATAGGATCTGAAGATTGTGCAGAACCGCCCCTGACCTGAAGTGTCCCTGAAACAAAGAACAAGTTTATCAACAACATTCTTTCAAAGCAATTCACTGTTAGGGTAAACCATGCAGATGAAAATTTAATATACTTATTAAAATTCCTTTCCAAAAAATTAGTAAAGGAGTTTCCAACATTAATTGCAATAACAATTTCATTAAAAATCAATAAGGGAGAAAATACTGAGATTTATCCATTATTGCAATAATAAATCTACATTCTGTTTCTTAAAATTAAAGGTAAAATAAAAGCAAAGAAATACAGATGCTGGAAATCTGAAATGCAAGCAAAAGTGCTGGAGAAACTCAAAGCCTGGCAGCATCCAGAGACAGAAAGCAGCAGTGTTAACATTTCAAGTCCACTGACCCTTTGTCAGAAATGAAAACAGTTGGAAAGAGGTGCTATTTATGCCATGAACTCTAAACATTAGCTCTGCTTCTCTACAGATACTGCCAGACATACCAAGTTTCTTCAGCACATGTTGTGGATTTTAGTATTGTACTACTGAGGCTTACTTGTGCCATTTCAATATTATTGATCTGTGGGCATTTATAAAAGCTATATCTTCATAATGTCTCAAATTCTTCATGCTAGCCCTGAAAAATGTGCATTGCTGGTCTTGTTACATCATAACCTCTTTCCCCCATCCCCCAACAAAAATCCTGTTTTGAAAACCATTATGCCTGCTGCATCTTATTAGCCATGCTATCAGGTGCCAAAGCCAACAATAGCAAACAAAGTTTTGGATTTTCCTTTCAGCTTCATTTTTGATTTTTAGGCATCAAAAACTACATTTTAAATCTGATCTGGTCAGCTAAAATAAACTCCAAAGAGCTGAAAAAACAAATGTTTGCTTCTTATTCCATGGACACCAATGTACTTACACCCAAATTAAAATAAATGTTGCTTTTAGGGGGTCCCTTCATGCGAGTTTTTAAAAAGTTGTGTTTATTCACACGTGGGATGTTGGAGTTGCAGGCTGGCTAGCATTTATTGCCCATTCCTGGTTGCCCTTGAGAAGGTGGTGGTTGAGTTGTCTTCTTGAATCATTGCAGTCCATGTGCTGTAGGGGGGAATTCCAAGATTTTGGCCCAGTGACTGTGAAGGACAGCAATATTTCCAAGTCAGGATGGCAAGGGGCTTGGAGGAGAACTTGGGTTCCCACATATCTGCTGCTCGTCTTTCTAGATGAAAGTTGTGGGTTTAGACTTACACAGCACCTTCCAGTTCCACCACCTGTACTGTTTTAGGAATAAAAAGGGCAGCAAATAAACTACAATACTACCATTGCAGGTTCTGCTCCAAAAACAATTCACCATCTAGACTTGGAAATACATCCCATTCCTAAGCCTCGTGTTCAGTGGCACTTGCCTCTGTCAAGAGAGACTAGATCTAGTGCCTCTTCCCCAAAAGCTTACTCTGCAGTAATAACATACAATGTTTTACTGGCCACATTTATTGCTGTCATACACAAAATAAAGAAAGCTGCTACCTCTACCTTAAGTTTAGGGATTCTTTGAGCGAACAATTGCCTCTGCCCTGAAGTTTGAGTCAGAGTCTTTGTGGGACATCATTGTATTCCTGCTCCTCAGCTCAAATGGTCTTAGTTCAAACTCCTTCCAGAAACAGTCCTCTCCAGGCTTCTTCCAATTTTTATCTCACTCGTGCACAATTCTCTTTAGTTTGAAATTTTGATTTCTGCCACTGATTATAATCTCTCTACCACAGCTCTTGACAGATTGAAACTGAAGTCCGTGAAGGAATGACCCCAATTGCTTACACCTAGATCTTGCAAGGTTCTCCAATCTGTTGTAGTTTCGGAGGGGATACCCAACGGTAGGCTCCTGCCTTGGTGGGTGGTGGGGGAGGATGAGGACAAGAGTGACTGGCATCCCTTCTTTATTCACCCATCTTGCTCACTGTTTACTCTTCCATTGCAATTTTACTAGCTTTTGATCCCTCAATGGCCTCGGAATTTAAACTATGTCAAATGTCCTCTGGCAGGTTTCCCCAAAGTTGGTGGTGGGTAAGGTTAGGTCCAAGAGAAAAACTGGAGAGCAACCTTTCCACAAAAACACTAGTTCGCTTTATTCCTCAGCTCAAGGCCTCTCAAAGCTCTGGGTTTCCATTGTAGCCTTTAAGTGCTATGTAAGTGACCAGTAGCCAATGAGGCAGAGGGCAAAGCCCTGTAAATCAATCCAAAAAAGGTTCCCACATGGGGAGATGGTGGCCTAGATTGTTAATCCAGAGATCCAAGCAATGTGCTGGGGACCCAGGCTCAAAACCCACAGACGATGGAATTTGAATTCAATAACAATCTGGAATTGAGAGTCTGACAATGACCATGAAAGCATTGTTGATTGTTGGAAAAACCATCTGGTTCACTCATGTCCTTCAGAGAAGGGAACCGCTATCTTACCTGGTCTAGACTACGTGTGACTCCAGACCCATGATAATGTGGATGACTCTTAACTGCTTTCTTAATTAACTCTAATTGCCCACATCCTGTGAATGAATATTAAAACATTCTCTTGCCAAATGTGTAGAATCCACATTGCTAATGAGCTCAGATAAGATGGGCAGTACATGACCAGAATGAGCACTTGCCAAAACAACTCAACTGCAATGATGCAATTCAAGTGAAACATTCACATGGAGGACAGAAATGTACTTCAAGGACATCCTGAAGGTCTCACTGAAGAGTTTCAATACTGGGAGATA